AATATGTATTACCTTCGAAATGAAATTACTAACAAGTGTTCAAAAAGGTACCATCATTGTGGCCGTGAAAAAAAAGTTCTTTTGTTTTCTTCGGAATCACAACACAGTGAAAAAAAAATGAAATTGGTTGGTGCTTCTCGGCGGCTATATGCTTGCTTGAAGATAAAACGTAAATTTATCGCGCCGTTTTTCGAGGGATTTGAATATCTTAGATCATCTTTGCGACACTGCATACTCTGGACATGCATGACTACATGACCAATTATATAATAATAATTATTATTATTATTATTATTATTATTATTATTATTATTATTATTATTATTATTATTATTATTATTATTATTATTATTATTATTATTATTATTATTATTATTATTATTATTATTATTAAATGAGAATAAGGTTCATGCTCTGTGTGTGGGCCGCTATTCTACGGGAATCCGAGTTATCGAAACAGCATAAACACTTGTTTTAAAAAAAGGGGTTCTATGTAACGGGTGACGCCCCTTCACAATGTTCGTAACAACGAGGTCGATTCCCATCCACAAACGACGCGCATTGTTCGTATTTTTTTTTCTTTCTTTTTTTGTACACATGCTTCACGTCGTGACAACGTAACACGGGTCAAAACGCAAAAGTAAGAATGTATATCTGCGGTTCCACACGCGAAAACGACGTGATTATGTGGCCCGCCGTATTAGCGTGATCTAGAAGTTTCGAACGTGTCACGGTTCTTCGACATGCACATTTAGCATGCATTTAGCATGCAGCTCGGGGCTTGCAGCTCTGTCAAGCTGTCAATTTCTGACAGCTCTTGCTGCTCGCTTCCAGCGTCATGTACGTTGTGCAAGATGCGAGTAAAACAAACAAACAAACATTACGCCTTGATCGAAATGTGGCCGACATGGCCGCGATTCAACCCGCGACCATCGAGTCACCAGCGGAGCGTCGTAACCAATGCACTGTAACTGATGCTTAAGGCCTGACCACATGTAAGCGTTGCGGCGCGTGGCTTTTTGACGCGGCGTCGCTCCCTCTTCCTGCGGAGAGAGAAGGCGCTGGCTACACGAAGAAATTAAGCAGCGTGGACTAGGTAGGCTTACTTTAGGAGCTCACGGGAATACACCAAATCAGGGAGTACAAGGTGATATGGGATGGACCTCATTTGAGGGCAGGGAAGCTAGCGGCAAGATAAAATTTGAGAAGCGATTGAGAGAAATGGGGGAAGAGCGTTGGGCTAGGAAGGTTTTCAGCTACTTGTACATGAAGAATGTCGATACAAAATGGAGGAAGCGAACCAGGAAGTTGACTGGTAAATACTTGGAAAACAGCAGGTGGCCAAACCAAAAAGAACTATCGGTTAAGAAAAAAGTGAAGGAAACGGAGACTGACATGTGGAGAATGGGCATGATTAAGAAGTCCGCACTAGAGATCTATCGAACTTTTAAGCTGGAAATTGCCAAGGAAAGGATCTATGATAATACTCGGGGTAGTTCTCTACTGTTTGAGGCCAGGACGGGAGTATTGCAAACCAAGACATATCGGGCAAAATACGAAGGGGTAGACACAGTATGCAGTGCGTGTGGAGAGTAGGAAGAAACTGCCGAACACTTGATTATGTTCTGTAAAGGGCTTCACCCTATAGTTCAGGATGATGGCGCAGTTTTTCAAAGCACTGGGGTTTAGGGACCGGGAGGGCAAAATAGACTTTAAGCGGGTAGACTTAACTAGAAGGAGGTTATCTGATTGGTGGCTAAAGTCAAGGCACGAGTGAAAATTAAACCCTTCACTGCAAATTAACAGTCCTCAAACTCCCTAATTAAAGGAAAAAAATAAATCTAGTGTTTGGTTCCCTAAGTATTACGGCTTGGTGGCATTAGCCACCGCCCGATCTAAAGGGTACAGCCATATCCATCCATCCATCCATCCATCCATCCATCCATCCATCCATCCATCCATCCATCCATCCATCCACGCCACATCTCTCTAGAGAGAGAGGGCGTGACGCCACGTCGAAAGGCCACGCGATGACACGCTGCAGTGGGTACGTGGGGTCAATCCTTTACAAACGTAATAATGGGGCTAAAGAATGAAGCATAACTCGGCGACAACGCTGCTACCGTTTCTTCTAGTCGCGCGCTATGCACAAACTGCTTTCGTCAAGCACCGGAGCGAGAGGAAAAAAGCAACGGACGAGTGGTGACGAAGTCAGGAGGAGAGCCAAAAAGTTGGCTCCTGGCTAACGAAAATACCGCACCTGCACTGGAATGCTTTGTGGCCCTTCCTGGTTCTTCTGTTGCCACAGCAACTTCAACGTTCTCCTCTTTCTAGTGCACTGACAGGTGGTGTCGTTTCTGATGGTCATGGCTCCAGGCTAACAGTACCGCACCTGCACTGGAATGCTTTGTGGCCCTTCCTGGTTCTTCTGTTGCCATAGCGACTACAACGTTCTCCTCTTTCTAGTGCACCGACAGGTGGTGTCGTTTCTGTTGGTCATGGCTCCAGGCTAACAACAGTACCGCACCTGCACTGGAATGCTTTGTGGCCCTTCCTGGTTCTTCTGTTGCCAGAGCAACTACAACGTTCTCCTCTTTCTAGAGCAGCGACACAAGTGGTGTCATTTCTGTTGGTTTGTAAGGGCTGAGGAGCCGGAAAAGGAGGGAAGGCAGCACCCCACCTCACTTCTCTGTATCAGCCGTTGAAACACTGCTTAAGTGGAGAGGGGTGCTTTACAGTCGTCAAAATGGGAAATCCTGCCCAGCGGCTGAGGAGCTTGTGTAACCCGAGGGGGATCGGAGAAGAGAAAACAGCCACAGGTTGTTGGCTTTCCGTTTGTTCCTGCTTTTGCTAAAGCAAACGTGCTAATAGGCGACCCGCGTGCTCCGACGGTGGGGCAAGCGGCGTTCCTCATCACGAGATTCCTGACGAAACTTGTGTCTCACCCCCCCGCTCCCTCCACCCCTCTTATTTTACGAGAGCAAGCGGCGGGGATAGTCTCGTACCTGTCCGGCCATCGGAGGAGAGAGCGAAAGACGGAGAGAGGGGGGTGTCGAAACCTCGTTTTTTTCTTTTAATGTTTCGTTCGGAACGTTTCTCTAAAGCTCGCGAAAGTGGGCAACGTGGTGGAGAGGTGCCCGCAGTTTTTCCAGCAGGCCGTCCCGTAAGAAGCCAGCAAGAAGGTTGAGAGAGGGAGGACATACGTTCAGGCGCGTCCAAAACCGCCCATTCCAGTTTGAAGGTCGGGATACCTGCCTCGCTTTGGCGGCGGCGGCTGCTACGGCATCAGAAGTCCCCGCGCTTATACCTTAGCCCAAGCATCTACCCTCCCCCACTTCGTAACAGAGATTAGAAGGGGGAGAGACCACGCCATAGACCTCTTTCCTCCTTTTCCACTCGTCTCGCCTGAGACAAAGAGGCGCAAAAGCAAAGCGCGAGGAAGGCGTGTGTTGTTGAGGGCGAGGGGTGGCACAAGACGAGGAATCTTTCTGGACGAACTTGTAGCTTCCTGCTTTGAAACGGCCTTCCCAGTGCGCGCCGCTTTGCTTGCTTGTTAGGAGGGGCGGAGGGGTGGTGAGGTTCGGTGGAAGCAGAGGAGGGATAGATTTGCCACTCCTTTGAAGAGGACGATATTATGGACATATTTTCTTTTCGGCAGAGCCTTCTCGTTTCTGCTGCGCACCCCCTGCGCGTTGTTGCGTCGAACTGGCCACTGCCACGAGCGGCGGCCAGCTAAGCAACCTGCGCCGCCGCGTTGATTCCGCGACTTGCCTCCGTACCCTTTCCCCTTTTTGCTCGTCGCGTAAATGTTCTCGTTCGCCCCACCTCCTCGCCACCACATGTGGTACGGGGCCAGCTACACCCTCCTCTCTTAGCCTGGAGAGATAACCGATTCCCCCTCTGCCTTAGGCGGTGAAATCGCCGGTGGCGCTAGCCGTCGCCAAAGTAGCTCGTGCCTCGCTCGCGGCAACACTCCGAGACGGTCTTGTCCCGAGCGGGCATCATCTTCGCGCCGCCGGCACTTTTGGGCGCTTCTTTCTCTTTCCTTCATCGCCCGACCACTATTCCACCTCTACATTTTCTTCCTTCCCGACTACCGTTGCTCCCCCCCCCTTTCGCCCCCCTCCGCCCACCTGTTGGCGCGCGCCAGACAACAAACCGCGTGCAAGGCTTTTCCCTGCATACGTGAAAGTGCTTTTTGTTTCTTGCATCGCGACACTGTGTCCGGCACTGTTCCGTTGACCAAGAAAGAGTGGCCGCCTGTTCCTCGTGGTGCGGACCGGTTGAACTGTCGTCCTGACCCCGTCGTGCTGTGGTTCTTCGCTGAGCTAGCGGCCAACTGTTGTGCTTGTCTTCACTACCGGGGTGAGTTCACGTGCGGGGGCGAGTACTGCATCGAAACCTGACCGACACTGCCGTGTGTGCGCGCTTTCTCCTTTGCCCGTAGTACCTGGCGACGATACGCTCCTACGGTGCCGTTCCTTCGGGAACAGTGGCGAGTGGTGTTCAGTGTGCTGTTCCTAGTGGTGGTGCTGCGCGGACGCAAGGTTGAACCGTGGCGACTGTGACGACTCCGATCATGCGCTGGATTCGAGCGGACAAGCCGGACTGACCGTTTACTGGGACCTTCGCGCATGGCAGCGCTCGTCTGAGTAGACCACGTGCGACAGCGGGATAGGGTCAAACTCCCCGACCGCAGTGATGACATGAACGCCGCGGACACGCGATCAAACACGCGCGTGCTATTTCCTGTGCGTGAAGGACTTCTGACCGATATTACTCCTAGGAAAGGCCACGGAAAGTGACCTGGAAGCAGCAGGCACCGTTTTGAGACAGCGCACTTTCGACGAAGGACGGTGCCATCAGGTTCGCAACTTCTCGATGAGACGAAGTCTTGGCCGACGCGCAGTGGGTTTCAACAGGACTGATCGGACGATCTTGCGGTCGCGTCCGGCAAGGCGGGTCACCAAGCGTAAGCTGACGGCCGTAGTAGTACCACGATGGCTCAGCTGAGCCCGTTGACCAACACGGACAGTCCGCCACCGTCGTCCCGTGCGGGTAGTAACGGTGCCGCGGTGTCTTCCCGCGACCGAGGCTCCGTGTCGCCGGTGCCGTCCCGCAAGAAGCGTCGCCAGATGCACGACCCGGACTCGAGCGGCGAGGACGACCTGAGCCCGACGTCGCTCGCCAAGAGGTTCATGTCAGATGCCGCGGCCGCCGGGACGTCTTCGCCGGCCACGACGCCCTCGACGGACGTCGCATCTTCCTTCGAACTCATTGACGTCACCGAGGTACGTTCACTCTCTCGCCATCCTGGCCGCGTATGGTGCAGCCCCGGAAGGTATTCATCTTTTCTTACACCTTCTCTTCCTCCTCATCCTCTTTTCTACGGGTGTTCGATGGATCTCCCGCGCTTTCTCTTGGCACGGATGCCCGCCACTAAAATGCATGAAGGCCGATCATATCGCTGCTACTGCCGCGGTGATGCAACGCAGCTCGTCAGTGACTTTCCATTTCGATCATCTTTCGCTCATCGCTCGCCACGATGGTCTAGTGGATATGGTGCTCGACCGCGTTGGCGAAGGTCGTGGGTTTGAATCCCGTTCACACTTTCGATGGATGCGAAAATGCCAGAGGCGCGTGTACTTACATTAGGGCGTCAGTCAAGGAGCCTTTGGTGGACGAAATTTCCGAAGCCCTTCAACACGGCGCCCCTCGCAAACATATCGTTGTTCTGGAACGCTAAACCAATTATTATATCTTGACGGTGATACCCCCCTCTGTATGCACGAATACCTTGCAATCATATCGCTGCTCCTGCCACGGTGATGCAACGCAGCTCGTCTGTTACTTTCCACTTCGATCATCATCTCTCGCTCTTTCCCATCGGCGACTTTGTTGCGTGATGATATCACGCCATCGAAGAGAATATAGTTTCTGTCGCCACCGTGAGTACTGCGAGGGGAGACTTCTGGGAAGCGGGTTATACCTTCCGCGAGTACGCGTGGACGTGATCGCGGTTACAACGACGTTAAGAAGCTTTTTGATATTCCTCATTTCGCTGCGAAACTGCGAATTGATTGCGCGTGGTCTACTGCATGGGACGCGACTTTTCCAGTGTATGTGGTGGTTGTGCTTTGAAGAAGGCTCCTGATTTCTGCAGGCCGGTAGGAAGCAAGGCGCAGATTCTAATGTATGTGCGAAGAACTGCTACCGGCCCCCTGAGGAAAGCATAGTGTACCGATTGCCCGGCTTGTAGCCACGATACTTTTTTTTGTCTGCTATATGTGGTAAGTTTCTATAAGTATAACGACGGGAAGTGTCGGGTCGATAATGATTTGTCCTTCAGGTTCAACTCAAGTTTGCTAACTGCACAAGTGGTCACTTTGCGCTGTGGCTACCCACATAACTAAACGTAATAGCGTTAAATGTCGTTCTTTCTCTCTATCTCTCTATCTTTGTGGCTGTCCCGCTATACTAGTACGGACAGAACGAAGCGAAGCCTTTTATAAACTAACTGTAACCAGGATTGCCGTTGGTGGATTCCTTGCGCCAAGCTTGCTATACTTTCCGACCCTCTCTGACTGAAAAAATTTCAGGTTGGTGCCACGACTACTTTCTGGCTACTTTTAACCTCAATACTAGCGCATTAACTAGCCATTTCTCCGTATCATTCGAAGATGAAATAGCAAGCAGGTCAAAAGAATGACCTTTGTTTGCACGCTTTTCTGTCCTGTTGGTTTATCTGCGCGCGTCTGCTTGCACCGCCAGCGTGCTATAGTGTGCATCGAATAGTCCCCAATGAGAATCCCTCCGTCTGATACGTAGCAACTCGCATGTAAGGAAACCAGCGGCTCTAAGGACAATGCTGATGCAAGATTATAATTAAACGCAGCTCGGGAAAGAGATATCCGCAACAAAAATAATGCCGGACTGCTAATCTTCGATCAGATAACCCACTTGAAGCGGGACTCTCTTAACATTGTAACCTTGTGTAAACGTCCGTCCAAGCTTCGAGAAAAAAAGACGGCTTTAACGTTTGATGTTCTTCCTTAGTTGGCCCAAAATTACTGTTGAAATAAATCTGTAAAAGCTGTACCAAGGTGCACTGAGGGCGTAATGAGTTATTGTTCTATTTGCAGTTTTACTCCGCCTTGGAGACCAAGCGAGAGGGGAAAATATTGTGTTTGGTTCAGTCCGTTTTTGCTTATTCAAAATCGTAGCTACTGTTGAACATTGACGACAATGTGTATATATGTATAACACCCCTTTATTTTGGCTACTTGCTGACAAATGGGACGCTTCCACCACCCAGCACTTCCACCACTTATGAGGAAGAGCTTTATTCGAGGCGAGCTCGAGCTGGCACACAGTGATGATGATGATATCTACATATGAGGAAATGATACAAATGATGATGACACGTCCAACTGATAAAGAAGAGTCGGTGACTGCGCTCACACTAATTGCGCTTAGGTTAAGTAGCCTGGCTACTTCTATAGCTTGAGTTTCGCCTCCCTTTCAAATCTACACAGCTCCAACCCTGGCGCTGTCACCTGTTTTCCAAAACAACCTAACGGCGGGTGGTCAACACGAAACGCGAGCTTGCGCCACTCCTGTTTTTTAAAAGCTGGTTTAACGACGAAACGTGCATCCAATAAACGCTTGTGCGTGTTCTCCACTGTGTGTCGCCCGTTTTCCAAGAGCCCCCTAATGTGGCAGAAGGCAAAGTCGCCTATGCACGGATATGTTGACCTGCATGCGATATCGCTGCCCGTAAACTGAGCGATGAGGCTAATCCTTGATGTTAATTCCTCGGGGCTGCAGCCAGCATGCAAAAGTCGATTTCGCCGTGCTGGTCTCTTGTTTGATCGATGACGCCGTGAGCGATCGCCTCCTGGCGCGGCATGGTGGCCAGATTACGGTGTGCAGCGTGTTGCATGTGACGTAAACCGTTCGCGGTGACCAAGCTCTTTTGGAGTTGGCGACCATGTGTGGTGTGCCAGAACGACGAGCGCGTGGCTGGTCATTGGCACTTTCATTACTGTTTATAGACTGCGGAAGCATTATACGTGGTTAAGCTTGTGGCTTTTGGTCCTCAGGTTGGACTCGGGAGCTATGCAGGAAAGCAATGATGTCGTGTCATGACATTACCATTTGATGATAGTTGCATGACGGAGCGAAAGAGATGGCTAGACGGCGTCGACGAAATCTGGCCACTTGGCAAAGTAACTTTCCTTGATACGAGCTCGTGGAGTAACCGGGAAACGTGAGCAGATACTACGCTGTTTAAGTGCACGAACAATTGTTAGTAAATGTAGTTAATTACTGCAGTGTCAACTTTGCAGAGTGGCTGAAAGTAAGGTATTCCTTTAGTTACCGTGGTACTCACGAGGTAATCAGAACTACCTTTTTGTGTGTGTGTGCATGCCTGGAATTTTTCCTTTCTCCAGTAGAAGTTTGTGGTGTAACCAGGGGTCGGTATTCTATGATATTAAACTACTAACACAGTTAGTCTGTGTAACCACTTCAGAGTTAACGTCGAAAGAGGACTAAAAGCATTTGGTTACCCTGGTACTTGGGAGAGAGAGAGAGAGAGAGAGAGAGAGAGAGAAAGTTTAATGAAGAGATGAAAGTCTTTGTCTTTTTTTTTTTTTAGCCTAACATGTTACTTGGGAGGTATCAGAACTACCCCTTCGAAAACCTGCATTCTTTCCTGTTTCAAGCATTAGTTCGTTGCGGAACAAGGAGTCGTGACGCGATGGTATTAAACTACAACAACAGTTACTTCGCCAAAGGACTAGAGGAAAAGTAACCACTTGGTTACCGTTGTACTGAGGAGAATATCGCAATGACACTTTTGAGAATGCCTGCTTAGCATTGCTTTTCATCTCTATATTACAGGTTCATGGTGTACAAAAAGTCGTGCCTTGATCATACTAAATTACAACAGTTACATCGCAAATGACTGAAACCAAAGAGCACATGTTTTTTTTTTTTTTTTTTCGCCGTGGTACTGATGAGCTAAACGTAGCAGCCCTTTCGGAAGGCCTGCCTATAGCATTCATTCCAGTCCTCAATTCAGGTTCCGAAGGACATTCCGTTCCATGATAAGTTCTAGTGCAACCACGGTATAGTGACTCAGCGGCGTTAAGCATCTGCAACAACAGTTATTCGATGTAATCGCTTCAGTGTTAACTGCGCGGATGTACTGAAAAACGTGCTGCCCGTTTGATTATTACCTGGTACTCGCGAGGTAATCAGAACGACCCTCTCGGAATGCCCGTTTAGCATTCTTTCGCGTCTCCGGGGCACGCATATGCAGTGTGGTTAGAGACAAGACATTCCTTCTACGCCCTCGACGCTGGAGCGGCCGTTGATTGAGCAGGAAAATTGAACCGCGCGCACCCTTGAGAGGTAGATGGGAGGGCGGGGGGGTGCGTAGCGCCGTCTAGCCGTACGTCGCTGCGTACACCTGTCGGCGGCGTCGCGCAAAATGGCACGTGCGGCACGCTTTGACGTCCGTGAACTAATCACTCCAATTAAGGCGGCAGCGTCGTCGTCGATACGTTGTTGCGTGACACTGACGCATTAAGGAGTGTCGCGCGCTTGCCCCGGCGATCGGGGACGGAAACGTCAGCCGTGTAATCCCGCGTCATTTGCGGTTGCATTCATTAGGCGTTAAGTTACTTTTCTTCTTTTTTTTTGTTTCGTGGTTGCCGTTGGACTGCTTTCCGCTGCGTCATTCTGGTGGATCGAAGTAACGCATAGATAGATAGATAGATAGATAGATAGATAGATAGATAGATAGATAGATAGATAGATAGATAGATAGATAGATAGATAGATAGATAGATAGATAGATAGATAGATAGATAGATAGATAGATAGATTATTGCATGTTTCGAAACAAATCATTAGGCAGTTCGCAATCTACGAAAAAAAGTTAACCATCGCCTAATTTTGCGAACACTTTTCTGTATTACCCTCGTATTATCCTACAAACACCGTCTTGTTACATGAAAACTACACAGCAAACTTTTTTCCCTAAAGGCGAGATTGTTATATATAACGCGATGAAATAAATCATCACCGCGATGGTCTCAACCTATGATTTCGTGATGACTTCACAGGTGGCCGAAGTGTAACTTCACCTTATAGCGTCACTACGATGTCCCATAACGTGACGTCACGTGACAACGTTGCTCGGTCGAAGCAGTTCCGATCCCGGAGGCCTTGCAAGACTTCGTGGGACGCGGCAATCTTTCAGTGCCTCCGATCTCGGAGGCAG